GGTGAGACACACACACACACACACACACACATACACACTCTTTATCTGTGCTGTCCAATTCCGCAGGCAATAACCACATGTTGAGCACTTGGAAGGTGGCTAGTGAGACTGGGGAACTGCATTTTTAATTTTTTATTTTCATTTTAATTCATTTCCATGTAAACAGCCACAGGTAGCTAGGGGCTACTGTCTGGGACAGCTCAGCTACAGACACTCAAACCAAACAGCTGGCAATGTCTTTCATTTCCTACAATAAAATTACAATCCTAATCAACCAATAATATCTTAAATTGTCACCAAAATTAGCACCTCTGTACAGGCCCCAGCTGCCCCAAACTCAGCAAGCTTAAAACAAAAAGGAAAAGGACTGAAGACAGTGATCCGGGTGTGTCGTTGCCTGGGACTGTGTTCTGCCTATCCAGTTTACATTTCTACCATAGTATGGCTTTGCCTATTTGGAAATCCGTGCTTGTGAACGGAATACGCATTTGGAGAACCAGAGCGTCACAGTCTCTCCCCTTAACGTCTGGGAAACATCAAAATGTGAACTTAGGGCAACTTACTTAACCTTGCTAAGCTTCAGTTTCCTCGAGGCTAAAGAGCAGATAATTAAATTCAGAGACTACAACAGGTAAAGTGCCTAACAGTGCCTGGCAAGGAGTAAGCAGCTGGCAGGTGGTCACTATAATTATTATTTCGTGAATAACAATAGTAAAATCTGCAATAAAATAAGAACGGTGCTGCTCCTACGAAAGTTTGCAGTCGGCAAAGTTTTCCTGAGCCCCATCACTTTGAACCTGTTTCCCAGGCTACCATGGAAAGTGGCATCGAGTAAAGTGTGTCTGGGGCCCTGAGTCTCGGCACTCACTGTGCCTCTCCAGAGAGGTGCTCACCTAGTGGGTACCATGCATCCCAAGCACCGTTCAGCCAACATTTATTGTGTCCCTACTGTGTGGCAGGCATGTGCTAGGCCAGTGATGGCGAACCTTTTGAGCTCGGCGTGTCAGCATTTTGAAAAACCCTAACTTAACTCTGGTGCCGTGTCACATATAGAAATTTTTGATATTTGCAACCATAGTAAAACAGAGATGTATATTTTTAATATTTATTTTATATATTTAAATGCCATTTAACAAAGAAAAATCAACCAAAAAAATGAGTTCGCGTGTCACCTCCGACACACGTGTCATAGGTTCGCCATCACTGTGCTAGGCTATGGAGGAAAACAGTCCGCAGAGTGCACTGTCTCAAGGCTCTTCACCATCTGCAATGCTTGGCCCCCACTGAGACACCTCGGGGAGATGTAAAAACTTCATCCTGGGGTCCCTCGCAGGCAAGGAGGCTCCATTCTTGTTTCCTGGACCAGCAGAGCCCAGGTTCAGCTGCTGGCCCCCAGAGAGGAATGGCGATATAAGGGGACCTGAGGGGAACCAGCCCATTTTTTCAGCAGGGACAGTAAGGGGGGTGTTGACAGGCCATGTTTTCACCGACAGGCCAAATCACATTAACAGGAAATCTGTTCTGAGCCTTCAAAAGGCCAAACCCGATCTTCCTCACAAAGCAAACACAACCCCTTTCAACAAGCTGCCGGAGCCGGTGAAATCCAACGGGACACTCCACCAAGTTCACACCAACCAGACCAATCTGCCCGAAATCCCCCAGGAGTCTCTAAACAGAAGTTTAGTGGAATTCTGTGGAGTTCAGGGGTTATTTTTCTTTATATAGAAAGCGCTCAGTCAACCTTCTTTCACAACCAAGCGTACATTCCCCTATGGAATTCCCTTCTCTGAAGATTTCTAAAAACAAAATATCCCTCTGATTGCCTGCCATCATTTAACTGTAAACGCATTTACTGGCAGAGTTGGGGATTTCTCACAGCTCCTCCACCTCTGAAAACAACATGTTCCACGCCGTCTCAGGTGGGCCCAATTTCTGGGCCCCTCTGGCCCCAGAAGAACACTAGTTAAATCATACTTGTATTCTAAAACCTCACACTTGTACTCTTGATGATGGGAATGTAAAATGGTATAAGCATGTTGGGGAAAGGTCTGTTCGTTTCTTGGGAGGTTCTAAGACCAAGCAATTCCACTCCTAGACATTTACCCACAAGAAATGAGAACATATGTCCCTAGGAAGACTTGGACACAAATATTCATAGCACCTTTATTCACAATACCCTTCCCCCACCCCCAAAAAAACTGGGAATAAGTCATGTGTCCATCAACAAAGGAATATATAAACAAATTGTGGCATAGACATAACCTGGCCTATAACTCAGCAATAAATAGAGACCAAATGACTGAACACCCAACATGAATAAATCTCAACATCATGCTGAGTGAAAGAAGCCTTACACAACACTGTAGAATCCCACTTACATGAAGTTCAAGAACAAGTTAAAGGAACTCAGAGTGAAAAGCAATCAGTGGTATTTGCCACGGAAAGGGTGGGGACAGGGACTGACTGGGAATGGGGATGAAGGGACTTTCTTGGATGATGGTAATATTCTCCTTCTTGATAGAGACAGTAATATTCCCCTTCAAATGCCAGGGGTGGGGAAACTTTTTTCTGCCAAGGGCCATTTGGGTATTTACAACATCATTTGCTTAATATAATTCACTTAATATACATTTATGTTGTTATGAAAAAAGCTCCTAGATTTATTGAATTTTGAGTCCTGCCTGTGGTTGCCTTGGCAGGGCCAGACCAAATGATTTCAAGGGCCTTATACGGCCCGCAGGCTGGACGTTCCCCAACCTCTGGGTTGTATATACAGGTGTAAAAATCAGTCAAAATATAACACAAATGTTACTCTCAAGATTTTTGCATTTCGCTATACATATATAAATTATACCTTAAGAAAAATCATGAATATACACTGAACTCTAAATAATAAAGTGGGTGCTGAAATGTTCAGGAGTGACCTGTATCAAAGTCTGTAATTTACTTTAAAATGAGTAAAACAGTAAATCGGACTGATAATGGATAGAGGGATGAATAGATGGAGAGATGGGCAGTCAAACCCAGATAGCAAAATCACAGGCCCTAGGTGTAGGCATGTGGATGGTCACTGCGGTTGCAACTTTCCTACATTTTCTAAAATGACATGGGCAGGGGAAAGAGTCCTACTGCGCTCTCCTTAGCCCACCACATCAGAAATTTGGCAAGGCTCTCGTGCCCACCCAGCCACAGCCCCACATCATTTCAGCGCTGCTGAAAAGCGAAGATTGCAAGAACACGAGCAGCTTTACAGGAACTCACATCACTCATGCCAAAGATTTTCTGCCTGTTTCCCTACAGACAAAGCAGTGATTTGAATGTAAGCCAAAAATTCCTTCTCAAGAGGGAGAAAAAGGACACACAGACTTGTATTCCCAATTTGTTCTCCTTCCATGCCTGCACCCAATCCATTAGCTAACTGTCCAACACTCCACTTCCATTTGCCCCATGCCCATGCCGCCAAAGACAAACAAAGAAAAACCAACCCCGCGACCTGTTCTACAAATGCAGCCAGAGGGTGACGTCCCAGCTCTCCGGCCAGATACCCCACTTGGAGGCAAAAGAGGATGCAGAGCTCCTCTGAGGTTAAAGTGATTTCACCGAGGTTAGCACACACATGCACCGAGAGCCCCAAACAACTTGTTGCTTAATCCCTCTGCCGGGTTTGGTGACATCTGGGGTCACTTGAACTTAGTGGGGAATTCAGATGTTCAGAGGTACATTTCAGGAGGCCCGGTGGCTAGGGACACGGGGGGTGCATAGCGTGAGCTACCCACAGACCCAGAGGTCGCTCACATTACGCCGGCCTTCCTTCCTGGCAGGGCCTCGCTTATCCTGAGATGACACACAATAGCAGGGGCTGCAAGACGCCTAGCCTGACTGCCAGCCCAGCATCTGAAAACAGCTGTACCAATTACAAGAGACTGTTGCTGGAAACCAGGGCAACCACTCAAATGTAGGGATTTGTGCCAGACTTTTGGGAGAAAAAAAAATACTTTTTGTTTGTTTGTTTTGAAGCCCCCTAACAAACTCACGGACACCACCCAGCGTCCCTGGGAACTACCCACAAGCACACAGGGCGGCCCAGCGTGTGTGCAACAGGGCGCGCGCCTGGGTCTCGCACTTGGCCTCCACGCTGTTCTTACTGCCAAACACTGCGAGATACAGGTGAAGGGCAAGCGCCTTGGCCCAGGAGGAGGGGGTGCCTGCCTGACAACTGGGTTTCCTAAAATATACGCTGCCACCACCCCACCCTGATCCAGACCCACCTTGGCGTCCCTTGAACCTAGGAAAGTGGGTTAGGTCGAGGGAAGAAACCCCGTTACAAAGGGGAAATGCCCGTTTTCAGCGCTGGGGACTCCCCCAGTCCCTGGTATCTGAGCCTCTACTGGCTGCGGTGCTTCCTCTGAACGCGTCCGCTCCCACCCATCCATCATTCCTACCCGGGAGCAAACTCACCTCCTAGGGCGCACGCAAAAGGGCAGCCGGAGCCGCCTCCACCCCACCCCACGCTCTCTCCCTCCAGAACCTACACTCCGTGGCCAGCGCCAGCCTGATCTTTGCAGAGGACTCCCTGCAGCCTTGTCCGACCTAGACCCACCTGTAGCCTGGAAGCTTCCTCTCTGATTCCTTCCCAGGCGTCCCCGAGCCTGCAAAACCCACGACCCCCAACAGATTGCTCGGGTGCCTCTCCGCACAGCGCGCCGGGGATGATTTTCTCCCCAATAAAGTTGGCCCAAGACTGCTGTGCCCCACGGATCGGCCCGACCCCAGCCAAACTCGGGCCGGAGGTGCGCGGGGGGAGGGGGAGTTGCGCGTTGGGGGAGGGGGGAGAGGAAGGGTCCTCTGGCAGCCCCGGCGCCTGGGAAGCACGCCCCAGCTCTGACAACCTGCAGGGAGGCGCCACGCGGGGCTCCCCTGTCCTCGGGGGTCCTGCAGCGGGGCCAAATGGAGGGGTTTGTGCCCGCCTACACCCCAAATCCTGCCGCGCGCCCACCTACCGTTCCGGACTCGCCGGGGAGAAGGCGCGGGTACGGGCTCCCTGAGACAGTGTGTTCCGTCCCGGGAGGAAAGTTTGTGCCATGCAGAGGCGGCGGCGCGAAGAAGGCGTGGGCACCAGTGGGTGGGGCGGG